ACGGAAGCCCTGAAGCCTTAAACACGAAAGCCCAGAGAAGGGAATCCCAAAAAGGGCCCCACTTTCAGATCCTTATAGCGGTGCTCTCAAGGCTTGAGCAGTCAGTAGGCGCACCCCCTTTCTCTTCAATCAATAAGTAAACAACAATACGTAAGTAAATAGATAAGGAAATACATATACAGATACGTATATCCATCCATCCATCCATCCATGCATGCATCCATCCATCCATCCATCCATCCATGCACGCATGCATGCATACGTACATATGTATCTATATAAAGAGATATACATGGATAGAGAGATCTACATGGATAGACAGATAGACAAACAACTCCCGGACCCAACCGCATGAAAGCGGCATGAACAACCCTTATACCCCTTTCTTTGCGGAGTGGGAATGGAGGGCGTAAGCCCTAATCCCCAACAGGCGATGGTTTGGGTGGTTGCCTGTGGTATCATCACAGCGGGCGGGTTTTAGAGAACTTCCGGTTCCACCGAGTTCTAGGACACATGCAAGGAACGGCGCTTCACGCGTAATATGCCGCCACCCACAAACCCTGGTGTGAGGTGGCGCCATCCTAGCATGGATTATCAGCCACTGCGCAAGAAGACACCCTATACCCTAACCCCTATACCCTGTACCCTAAACCCTATACCCTAAACCCTCAAGGCTCAGAAGCTCGCAACAAAAATCAGGAGCCCCGGCGGCCCGGATCTCTGCCCTCGGCCCTCCGGGCGTCCTACGCGCCCGCGCCTCAGCTTGTTAGGGCTTTAGTGCTTTAGGGGTTTAGGGGTTTAGGGCTTCAGGAGTTTAGGGATTTGTGTTTTGTTCGATTTTTTGGGGCCCTTTTGGAGAAGGCTTTCATTAGGATTTAGGGTCATGGGCAAGGAAATTCATCAACCTTAAGGTGTAGGTTTTTTCTGGTTTGGAGTACCGCACGTCTTATGCCATTTGTTTTTCTAGAGGGAAGGCGGTCGAGGAGGAGAGAAGCCTAGCCTAGGGAAGCCACAGGAAGTCTACTCTGTTGACTTATACTTCTCGGAGTGGCTGTGCCAGGATTGTCGAAGCCTGAACAACTACCAGCACTATTCCTTGAGGTTCCTATTAACTAGTATCAATATGGTCTAATGTAATCCAAAACTAAAACCCAACATACTCTAACAATTCGGACCCCTATGCTAAACCCTAAACCCTACCCCAAACCCTAAACCCTACCCCAAACCCTAAACCCCAAACCCTAAATCCTAAACCCTAAACCCCTAAACCCCCAAACCCAAAACCCCCAACCCTATGCTAGGCCCAAAAGGGCCAAGCCGAAGACCAGGCTGGTGGCCCGCCGAGAGTGTCGGCGCTAAAGCGGCACACGCTGGGAGCAGGCGCCGTTTTCAACTATGGTCACTCGGTTTAGGGTTTTGGGCTTCGAGTTTAGGGTGTAGAGTTTAGGGTTCAGGGTTTCAGCGTTTAGGGTTTAGGGTTTCGGAGTTTAGGGTTTTGGGTTCAGGGTATCGGCTAGAGCTCGATGATGCAGAGCTTAGGGTTTTGGATTGTAGGGTTCAGGGTACCCGTCGTCCGGATTTTTCTTCAGCTTGCTTATGTCAGTGTCAGCCAGTGTCATCCTCTTCACAAAGCCAACCCCAAGCCGCCGGCCAGCAAGCCCATCGCAGAAGCCAAGGGCTGCAAGCTCCAACCTAAGTGGATTGAAGCTGCTCGAGCATCAGTTCTGCCTGGGTTTGGGGCATGTGACCGGCCGTCGAGCTTTTGAGAGTGGTGTCGCCATGGAGTCATCTCTGTTTTGAGTGCGGATGTCGATAGTTAGCCCCGAAAATGACAAGAAGCAACCCAAGACCCGACATTCAAAACAGCCCGACACCCACCCGCGTGAGCTGTGATATAGAGCAGCGAGTTGTGCTTTGAAGGCAGCCACCCTGATCCCTGACCCTTCAAGCCTACACCCTGAACCTAACACGTCCTAAAGCCCAGTTCCCTTGTTCCACAAGGTCAGGATCCGATTTTGGGGGGTCCATTCAATCAAGCTCTGGTTGCTTGGGACACTTGTAACCACGGCCTCATTGTTGGGGGTCTATGTCGCGTCGCTTCTTCTGCGGTCCCGAAGTAATCCATACCCTAAAGCCTAAACCCCGGAAACCCTTAAACCCTAAACCCAAAAACCTAAAGCCTTGAACCCCTAAAGCCCCAAACCCTAAAACCCTGAAGCCTCATGCCCTTGAAACCCTTAACACCCCCAAAACCCCCTAAACCCTAAACCCCTAAACCCCTAAACCCTAAATCCCTGAACACCAAGCCCTAAAACCCTCATAGCCGCCGGGACGTCCAGGCCCCTTCACGATCAGCCAGCCTCGGCGATGCTGAGGGCAGAAGTAGCAGCCACATCGGTTTAGAGGTTTAGGGGTTTAGGTTTAGGGTTTGGGGTTTGGGGTTTAGGGTTAAGGGTACATATATGAATTCTAAGCCCCCCAAATACCAAAACGATCCCCAAATCCTAGATCCGAGATCCTAACTCCAAGTCTTGGATCCTAAATCCTGAACCCCAGATCTCCAACAAGCCATACCTAGACCACCAAAAGTAGATTAAATAATGGCCCAAAACATATATAAAGGCTATTTGTCCTACATAATAATGGCCCGAAACAATCAAAGGCTATTTGTCCTACATAATTTTGCGGTCCAGGTAAAACCTAGACAACTTCTGGGTATCCAGACATGTGGCTTGGAAGAGGTTTCACCAAGGAGTCAGGAACCCCAGGCGTGGGTCTTCCTCGGGATCTCCGCGGTTTTAGGGTTTACCTAGGGGTACTTAGAATTTTTTTTTGTAATTTTTGGTTATTATAGTCCCTAAGAAGCAGCTAAAACTATACTTTTTGCTAGGGTTCTAAGTTCAGTATAGTTTAGGGTTCAGGGCTTCGGGGGTCGCGGGTTTTTTCTCAAGATGTCGCGGTATTCGGTTTAGGGTTTTAGGGGTTTAGGGGTTTAGGGTTTAGGGTTCAGGGTTTAGGGTTTTAGGGGTTTAGGGTTTAGGGAGTTCTTCAACTAAGAGTTCCCGCCACTTCGGATCTATAGAAGGAGGGTTGAACAAGGATCCCTTCGTTTCTGAAAGCGAAAGTGTCGGTTGCAAGGGTTTTTTGGTTCAGGGTATCCTGGGCCACGAGGGCTTGGCTGCTGCTTTTCCATGGCAAAATCTGCCCAAGTGTTTGGGGTTCAGGCTTCTGGACTTAGTGAGCTGGGCTCAGCTTTCCGGGGGAAGGGTTTAGGGTAGAACAAGTACGCAGGACCCGTAGCCTCTTTCTCCGGATGCTGCCTCAGCCGGCAAACCTGACATGCTAAAACCTAACACGAAACCTTAAACTCTAAACCCTAAACCCTAAACCCTAAACCCTAACACGAAACCCCTAAACTCCTAAAGCCCCGTAAAAACGCACAAACTCTGAGCCGGCTGCAGTTCCACAGGAAACCTGGGATGTGAAACCACTTCAAGGGGATCCTCTTAGACTTTACACGTAGATTTTATAGAGGTTTGGGTTTTTTTGTGCTTTTGAGGCTTTAGGGTTAAGGGTTTTGTTCGCTTTAGGGTTTTGGATTTTTGAGGTTTTCGGGTTCGGGTGTGGGTGTTTTGGAGGTTTTCGATTTAGGGTTAAGGGTTGCCATACACTGATGCACAGGAACGTCTCGTGCTGTCTCGTCCCATCTCGGCTCAACGTAGGAAGATGCCTCCACTATTCGATACCGAAGCAGGCATCCCGCTATGCCGCCTCGGGGTTTCGGGCTCGCCCATCCAGGGTTACCAGCTGCTAAAAGGGTTTCGATGGGGGCTACTATAAGGCTTGCTAGAAGGGTTTATATGAGGTAGAGACAGAGACCCTGCCGAAGTCTAGCTTCGGCCGCAGATGCATATTTCACTTGCCCACTTCAAACAGCAGCCCTTTCCATCACGACTATGATGCTGATGACTTCTTTGTATCATTGTCATCATCATGACGATCAGAAGCCACACCGACTAGAACAGAACGGACTAGCAGCAGCCGCGTCGGCGGCGGCAAAGGCAGCAGCATCAGCAAGATGTTCACATGGACGTGGGAAGTAGTTGCCAGAACCTTCGCCCCACACTTTGTGTGCCCAACATCTCAGACCCCACCCAGGAAGTTCACCCAATACCAACCCTTCGCCCGCAGTGGAAAAGCCAACTCCAAGCTAAAGACGAAGCCACTATCTCCCGAAATGGGGAAAGGTCAGCTTCAGAGAAGTTGAGGGTTTAAGGTTTGGGTTAGGGTTTAGGGTTTAAGGTTTGGTTTAGGGTGCTGGCGGTTGAAGGCAAGTCAAGCAATACTCCACACCCTCAAACCCAAACCCTGCACCCTGAGCACATCTCGGCCCCCAATCCCCAAGCTGACTCTATGGCTCGACATCAAACTGTGCTCCTTACGGTTCGTCAGTCGGGAGTGGGGTTCAGGGTTGGGTTCATGCCTGCATCCCTATTGCACTCGATTGCCTGTACCAGTTCCTAGTCCCCCAAGTACGATGGACAGGTAACACCGAAACATTAGGCTTCATATAAAGAGCCCCAATGAAGACCCAGGCTTTCTTAGTCAGGTTCCTACATTATTATGGTACCCTTATAGGTCCCTTATAGTAACCCTTACAGACCCCTTTAAAGGAGCCCAATTGAAGACGCAGGGTTTCTTAGTCAGGTTCTTTACTTCGCGCAGAGGGAGCCTCCGGGCCGAGAGGATTTTGGCTGTTTGCTTGGTTGCGAAGTGCTGAAGGGACTTGATTGTAGGGTCCAGAGTACTAGGGGTTTAGGGGTTTAGGGTTTAGGGTCTAAGGTAGGGGCTTTAATGGGGGTTCCTATAAAGTACCCTCAGTAGTATAGGGCCCCAAATTAGGGGCTTTAGGCTTTAGAGTGCAAGGTGCAGAGGTCTTAGGCTTTTCAGTGCAACGTGTCAGGGTCTTAGGCTTGCAGGGTGTAGGGATCTGCGTGCGCATGCAGTGCCCAGAGTGTAGAGAGGCGCATCCTGCCCGGTGCGGATGGAAAGTGTACGTTGAGGCCAAGTGCCCAGTATGCTGGGATTACGACAGGCCTTTTATCATCTTCCCTTGTGGCCACGGTGTATGTGTTCAGCACTTTCAGGATCTTGGCGGCCAGTTGCAGGACTGCGGGCTTAGCCAGTCTGTGCCCAGCGAAGCTGTACGGTACACGGACACGGATGGTGACGAGATCGCCTTTGTCGTGAATGCCCTGGGAGGCCTGGACTACGAAGTGAACGGCCGACCGAAAGTTCGGGACCTGACGTCTTTGTCTTTGAGTGGTTGCACCCTCCACCTTGATGGGACCACTGCCGGCTCTTGGAGGTCACAGAGACACACGACACTCCCTGCATCTCAAGTTGCAGTTGCAAGGCAGGCCTTGGATCTGTTCCATGCCTGCACCCGTGCTTCCGACGGCGCCACGGCATCCATGCTGGATTCAGACCCTTCCGAAGCTATAGACTTCGTGGATACCGATGGCGATCGGATTGCCTTCATCGTGAATGCCTCTGGGCGCATGGATTACATCGTGAACCAGCGTGTCAAAGTTCGCAACCTGAGTCGTCTTTCCATCCGACACCGCACCATCCACCTGGATGGGGAGTCGGCCGGAACCTGGTCTTCTAGCAGGTACACCACAGTTCCCGAGGGACAGGACTCCATCCTGCAGCGTGCCGAGAGCATGTTTGCACAGGCTCACTGAGGATGGGACCGGCCATACCCTAGGCCCTGTAAGGCTTAAGAAGCCCCAGAGTTCAGGAAGGACAAAGGTGTTGATTCCGTGACGTGGGCGGCTGTTGCCCGCATGTCTCCTGCTTTCACTTTTCATCTAACGATGTCACTGACTGAGCCGTTCCTGGCTGAAAATGACGTCACCTCCACGTTCTCTCTGCTTCTCTGTGTGCTAGGACTGATGTTTCCGGTGCCCGTGCTCTGAAATCTTGATTTGGGTTGGGTTTCTGCAAAGGGTTTTTTCAGAAGGATTCACCGCAACAATGTGGCGATTTTGTTTTTTTATTCAGTCGTCAGTGTTTCTGCTGATTTTTTCTTTAACCTTCAGTGTTTCTTATCAAAATTTTGGAGCGTTGCGTTTTTGTTTCGAGTGGATTCGTGCGTTTTACATGTTTCTCGTACACTTCCCGAAGGCCATACAACAACAGTGACAACAGCAACAACACTCAACAGGGAAACATAGAGCAACCAACAAACAGACACATGACCGTCAAGTTATCAAATCATTGAGCTCAGGTTGCATCAAAACCAACCATTTTATCCACAGCGATGTTAGTATTAATTATTACGTTTTTGATTCGATGCTTGAAAATTTGCTCCTTCAGCAGCAGTGTAAGGATTCTTCTCTTTGTTTCTCAGACCGTGGTATCGGCATCCACATTTCCACTGCGTCCATGTTTCCATGTATGCTTGTAACTGTATATCTAGGCACGGTGCAATCATCAAACTATTCACTTAAACATCGGCTGTCTTTTTGTGGTATGATTTGATTCCATTGTCTTTGGTACTGTAGTTGCAAGCCCAGGAAGTCATCCTCCACATGAAACATCAACTTATCGGTTTCAGAAAGTTGTAGATTGCAGATCCTTTTGCTCAAGTCGCTCTTGACTTTTGTGTGCACACCCGCAAATCTGATGAGACATCTTCTGCTACGGGTGGAACGTATGGTGTGCAGCAACTTTTGCACGTGTCTTGAAGTGTTTATGTTTACATGATTTTGTCTGCTGCTGGTGAAAATTTAACGACATCTAAACAATCATGCTTGATTGCTTCCTGTGCATCTTCATCACCACCATCATCATGATCACCACCATCATGTGAATGATATTCACCGTCATCATAGTCATCATCAGGATCATTATCACCATCATCATGATCACCACCAGAATAACAACAATGTTTGTTATTGTCGTTGATAACGATAATAGCAAACAACACCATAATCATTGTCATCGTCACCGTCATCATCATCTTCATGACGATCAGCAGCATCATCACAAATCACCATCATGAAATCATTATCATGATCCTCATCCGCATCCTCATCCACATGAACAGTAGGCCCTGAACCTCACAGACCCTAAACCCCAAGCCCTAAATCCTAAACCCCGAAAAAAACCCTAAACCCTAAACCCCGCTAGACCTTAACCTCAGGTGATCGCTTCCACATGCCATGAGAAATGTGCTGCGCCCAGGGTGGGAGAACCTTGCTTTGCTTTTCGGAGGACCCAAGAACAAAGGTTTAGGGCCTAAGGCTAAGATTGAGGGTTTAGGATTGAGGGTTTAGGGTTTACGGGGTTTGGGGTCTAGGGCAAAGATGGCAGTGGCAACAGTGAGTGTCGTGCATCCGTAGAGGACGTCGCAAGGTCCCAAGGTCCGCGAAGCCCTTGGGAACTCTTGGAACGTAAACAGATTAGGGTTTAGGGTTTAGGGTTTAGGGAGGGGCAAAGAAGTTAAAGACACGTCTGTCCTCCGTTCCCGACGCTGTTCAGTTGAGGTGGGGGTTCAATACGGCTTCTCCAGCACAGAACGTGTGTGCTACTAGGACCACTAGTAGTGCCACGACTGGCGTAATCTCCACGCCTACTAGTACTGCTGTGACTACTGTCTGGTTGCCGTAAGTGCTGTTCCGTCTTCTGCTGCTGTCATTCTTTTGATATTCGTGCCGCAGCTTTGTTCATGAATACCATGCTTTGGTTCTGACATTCATCATTAGTCTCATTACTTTCGTTCCACCCTCTTGTTGAGATGTGCGTGTTTCTTCTACACCACTACCACTACCACTGCCACTTCCGCTGCCTCGACCACTACCACGGCCACGCAAGGCGAGACGTCTGAATAATTGAGTAACAGTATCTGCTTGTAGTTCCCATGCGTTTATACTTTGCTAAACCGCACTACCCTCTTCTACTCACCCAGGCCCTTCTGAGCCTCTATGACTATTGAAGCCCTGCGAAGCCCCTGTTCAACCCGATACAACCTGATTCGAGACACAGCGTTGAAAGAACTGTCAGCAAGTCTTGGGCACCCCAGAAATTCCGAATACAACCCTATAAGACCTTGCAGACCCTTTTAATAATATCCATATGAAACCAAAGCGAACCCTTAACCCGAAGCGCTAAACCGCATGAAACCAAAAGCCCCGAAGTCCCAAAGCCCAAAACCCTGAACCCCACAACGCTCCCCAAAGCCCTAAGCCCTAAAACCCAAACCCAGTGAGGGATTGAGGCAGATCTGTTACTTTCTCCCAAGTGTATGCCGAAATCGGCTGGACCTTCTGCACTAAAAGGCTCATTGCACTAAAAAAGCCCAAACCCAAAACCTAGAGGAAGAAGAACCTGCAGAGGTAGCTCTTGAGGTTCGGTCCCTTCTTCGGGCCCCCTAAAAGAGGGTACGGCACTCTTATAGGAGGACCCTTGCTAGGGACCATAATGTCGAGAACGACGCTAAACCCTAAGCCCTAAACCCTAAACCGTCTCATAGCATCCGGAGTCTGAAACTGAGGCGCCGGGCCTTGCTTGGGATTCTTTATCTGAGCCTCCACGGCGTGGGCTCTGAGGCCTTGGAGTTTGGGAGGTTTTAGGGTTAAAGAGGAGCTTTTTGGTTTAGGGTTTAGGGTTGAGGGGTGTGGCATTCATGTAAGTGCAGTGCGACAGGACTTGCTGTTTTCGAGATTTGTGGCAGCAGTTCCTAGATCAATGACGGAGTTCGATTTGTATTAGGGCGGTCAAAAAAGCCATATTGCTCTTACACTTACTATAACTAAGCCTATTACTCTCACTATTGATATAACTACCATAGCCGTTACCGCTGCCCTTACTATTTCTATTGCTATGTGAAAGTATGCACAAGAGGTTTCAGTTCATGCTCAAAGGTGTTTGGGGATGTGGGGTTAGAGACACGACACGATAATGGTTTTGTGTTCAGGATTTGGCATTTAGAGTTTGAGATTTGGGGCATAGGATGGAGGGTTTAGGGTTCAGGGTTTGGGTGAATCAACTGGTAGGCCACGTGTGCGGTGTTTGACTACAGACTGTCATGGATTAGCAGTAGTGGGGTGGAACGTCAAGAATGGGAAGCTGAAGTGGAGGCTGACTTGGTATCGTTTGTCCTGACTCCTGACATTTTCTGGAAGTGCCGTGCAGGAATGCGGTCCACATCTCCCATCGGAGTGTGACGCAAGCAACTCAAAAGCTGGGAGCATGGGGTACTGAAGATAGACTGTGTGTTGGGGACTCCGCCCGCCGTGCAATGACATCGGTGGTCCTCACATAAGACGGTTTCCTTGAGCTCGCGGCTCCAAAGTGGCTGTCCAAAACTCCATCGTGATAAACAATGACTTTGTGCGCTGCGGTACGTGCTAGCAGCAATGTGATCCTGCTCTCTTGCATACATCTAATGCCGATGCATACGGGTGTCAGTGTCTGTGGGTAAGGGTCGTTGTGAACACGACTCCCACTTCCAGACTCCATCATCCTTCTACATGGGCAAGGGTTTCAGACTAAATTCTTATCGCATAGAGAATCGACATGTCTGTGTCGAGTGTATGTGTTTACAGATGTCAACAATACTGTCTACACCTCTACGTACCTTTGTAGCTACATTGCTTTAGTCTTCCTCATGACAGCTTCTCTCGTCTACGTGGTAAAACCTTCTCCACATGTCAACTGTCCATATATTGCGTTCTTACTGCAAACAACCCAGGTGCGCACTGTCCGCTGGACTCGGCCCTGCATGGTGATATGTGATCTTCTCTGGCACGACCTTGTCTTGTTAAATCTTCTTCGTTTGAACTGTGTGTGTGCCCCCATTCACGATGAGTCGTCCTTATGGAATGATGAAGCAATCCAAACTAGGAATCATGGATCTGGACGCTTGCATTCCTCAGGAGCGCGGTCTGAAAATCCTTTAAGAATGACAAAGCCGAAGCAGTCGGTCCAAACTATTGCATAAACAGAAGAGTCAATATCGGCAGAATAAAAACATATGCCAAAACTCTATTCGTGTCAGGCCCCTGCAATACTATAGGGGCCTAAATAATTACGAGTACTATTTTGGGGGTTCCTCATTATAACTATAGTCAAACGTGTCTCAAAACCCTATTCCCATTATTAAGGCCCCTATATTACAGAAGCGTCCCCCGTCATGTTCTGAGGCAGCACCTCTTTTGCAGCTTCCCAAGAGGACCGGGAAACATCAAATCGGCATTTTCAAAAAAGCATTAATCCTAAACCCTAAGCCCTAAACCCCAAAGACCAAAATCTTAAAGCCCGAAACACCAACCCTGAACCGTGGAGACTTTGGGTGGTGAGGCCTCAGAGTTTTGGGGTTTATGATGTATAATATGCAAAAGGGCAAAACCTCCGGCCAGCCAGCCAGGCAGGCAGACAGGCAGGCAGGCAGACAGAGGCAGACACGCATATGTTTCAAGACTTTAATATCGATCTGGCGCAATTTTTTTTGGGCATTTCTCCCTCCCCCTCGTGCCTTGCGGAGGATCGAGAGCCCGGGGTCTTACTTATGGGGCTCAGAAACAAGGATTATACAGAAGGCTGTTAACGTTATAGTCGCGTATACCCCAACTACGTACCCGAAATCCAGAAAAAGCATCGTTATAGAAGCCCTTTTAGAAACCTCATATACAGGAACACTCAAAGGAATTCGTTGCTGGGTCCTCTGATTCTCTGATCC